GTTAAAAAAAAAAAGAAGAAGATAGCAGTCAGGGAAGAATGAAGTGGGGGAAATTAGAGGGGGAAAAAAAAAAAGAGAGACTATGGACTCTGAGAAACAAACTGAGGGTTCTGGGGCGGGGGGAAAAAAAAAAAGCCTGGTGATGGGTATTAAAGAGGGCACGTTCTGCACGGAGCACTGGGTAAAAAAAAAAAACAATGAATCAGGGAACACTACATCAAAAACTAATGATGTAATGTATGGAAAAAAAAAAAACATAATAAAAAAATCAGTGATTCCAATAAACATTTATATAATCATGGCAAAAAAAAAAACTTTCTATCTCTGGCCTCTCCCCTGAACTCCAAACCCATATATTCACCGAAAAAAAAAAATTTCCATGAAGGACACAAAGAAAATGTTCAGTATTTGTCAAATAAATAAATGAACCACAAATGGCCTATAGTTTTAGATACTCCTAAACTTTTTGAAGTAAATATGTCAAAAAAAAAAAACTCTACCCTTTAGATCAAGACACCATAAATCGTCCCCTTCTCTTAAGGAAAAAAAAAAAATGTGTCTTATGTACCTCTCATTTCCTGGTGCTGGCACTGCACCTCGTATAAAAAAAAAAAAGGTATTATATGTGGAAGAAAGGGCAAAGGGTGGGGAAGAAAAGGAGAGAAAAAAAAAAAATAGGGTGATCTTTCTTAAACTTTTTGCTTTGAAATCTGTCAATGCTTTAAAAAAAAAAATGATAGTCCAGGCTGTGTCGTTAGTTAGAATATGATGATTATTGGATTTAAAAAAAAAAATTACTACCTTCTTTGGACTCCTTTGGAGGAGAGACTCTATTATTCATTGTTTTAATGCACAGTGTAACTAAAGTAATACCAGGCACTGATGCTCATATTTCTACCAAATAAAAAAAAAAAAATAAGGCAGTGGTATCCTAAGGATATCTTTTGTCAAAGGAAATCCTGCAAAAAAAAAAACATTTATTTTTTGCAGAGTTCTCTTTCTCCACTCCTTTTTTTTTTACCTGAAGATTTGGTTCTCAAAATGTGGTCCCTGGAACAGCATCACCTTGATCACCTGGAAACTTAGGAGGACTGAAAATTTTCAAGGGAGCGCAGACCCCAAACTACTGAATCAGAAACTCTGAAAAAAAAAAACAGTACACTGTTTTAATAGGCCCTACAGGTGATTCTTTTTTAAAAACTTAAAAAAAAAAAATTTGAGAGAGAGAGAGTGCGCATGAGCATGAGCGCCAGGAGGCGCAGAGGGAGAAGCAGATCCCCTGCTGAGCAGGGAGCATGATAGGGGCTTCATCCCAGGACCCTGGGATCATGACCTGAGCTGAAGGCAGACGCTTAACTGACTGAGGTGCCCCAGTGCGCCTCCTACAGGTGATTCTAATGCCTGGCCACGTTTGAGAACCTCAGAACTAAAGAAATCGTACCTAAAAAAAAAAATTTTTTTATGAAGTCTAGTTGACATACGATGTTATAGTAATTTCAGGCACACCGCCTAGTATGCATCTTTTAGGCCAGCACTAACATGACTTCCTCTGTAAGAATTCATAAAAAAAAAAATTCTGCTCCCATAGTATTTTGTCCTAATTCATGAATGTTTATTACTTACAAAAAAAAAAAACAGCTAATTGCTTCTCCTTTTTGATGTCCCTGCTCCTTAAGGGCTGTGAAAAAAAAAAATAGGGCACCCAGTGAACCCTCATAAAATTGTGCTGGATTGGTGACTGAATCAATGAATGCTCTCTCAACTTTGACTGGAGGGCATGTGTTGGAACTGTAGGAATTTGATAGTAGAAAAAAATCCTACAGCTTGTGTAGGCAGTAGCTACTAACATAAATCTAGAGCTTGCTTTGTGACAGAACTATTTGAAGCACTTTAAGACATCTATTTATTTGAATTCTGCAAAAATTCTAAAATATGGGTCCTCTTAATAGCCCTGTTTTTTAGATAAGGAAACTGAGGCACAGAAAAAAAAAAAAGGTGGGGAGGTAGGATATACGATGCTATTTCTGTCAAGTACCAACCATACTCTGCTATCCCTGTATTTCCCAAGACTGTAAATAATAGACATGGAAGAATTATGTGCCAAAAAAAAAAAAAAAGTCAAACCACTTGACAACTGTTTACCCTTCCCAAATGAACCACGTAAGGTTAGATAGTGCACATAAATGTTACAGAATGATCTTATTGATTGAAGTTTAGAAGAGAGGTCATTGTGAGAAATTTCTGGGAGAAAACTCCAGGGTGGAGAGCTGGCTCATCTTGTATCCTCAGCTCCAAGCACAGTGTATGAGAAAACACAGACACTCAAAACAAAGTGAAGTTATTAAAAAAAAAAACAGCTAAGTTGTGCTACAGTTACACATCCCCTCTGTGGGTTATTCTTAACATCGTCAGTGACCACATAGGAAGGCTATATATAACAGACAGATGGTTGTGAGAAAGAGGCCTTCTTAACATTCTTAATTTTTTTTTTTGCCATGTTTCCACTTCTTATGTACTTTCCAGAAAGACAAACTAGTAACTCTGATTTATTTAGAGTGCATAGTGATATTCGTTTATGAAGTTAAAAAAAAAAATTTAATGTAAATAGAAAGTTACAAATAGATTGTACCAGAAAGTGTCCTGGACAAAATCTTACCATGATTTTGTGAGAGACCTATTTGAGAGAGACAGTAGATGAATATGAAAAAAAAAAATTAAATTTAGAATACAGATAAAATATGTTTTCTCACTTCATGGAATTATTTTGAATTATCTTAGAAACTATAAGTAGCTTTGCAATTTTGTCAAATTCAGGGTTTTTAAAAAAAAAAAAATATTGCACACAAATTGCCCATTTAGGAAATTCAGCAATTCCTGAAGGATGTAGATAATTTCAAACAAATTAACAAATGAACGCTTCTTCCCTTTTTGACAAAAAGGCCTAAAAAAAAAAAGACAGTTTTGGAGATGGTTGGTATATAAATATACCATTCAGTTCAGGTAATTGGGTCTGATTGTATCTTGCTTATTTGTGGCTAGCTGATTTTTCTGCAAGACCAATTGCCATTGACACAGTCCATAAACACTGATACTGTCAAAAATAACTCAACACACCTATTAAAAAAAAAAAAAAACAAAATGCTGACAACACCAAAAGCCAGTGAGGATGTAGAACAATAGGAACTCTCATTCACTGCTGGTGGGAATGCAAAATGACACAGGCACTTTGGAAGACAGTCTGGTGGTTTCTTACAAAATTAAACACAGCAATCATGAGATCCAGCAATCAAACTTCTAGGTCAGAAAAAAAAAAAAGCTTTATTCAAGACTGCCAAAACTGGGAAGGACCAAGATGTCCTTCAAAAAAAAAAAAAGATAAACCAACTGTGGTACCCCCATACATTAGAATATGCTGAGCATTAGAAAAAAAAAAACTATCTGCCCACAAAAAGATATGGAGAAGCTTAAATGCATACTGCTCAATGGAATAAGCCAGTCTGAAATGACTACATACTGTATGATTTCAACTGTATAGAAAAGGCAAAAAAAAAAAAAATGTCAAAAGATTACTGGCTGCGCTGAGTGGAGAAGGAATATGGTGGTAAAAAAAAAAAAGACTGCAGGGGATCTTTAGAGAAGTGAAACTACTCTGTATGATACTCCACTGGTGGATACATGTCGTTATACAACTGTCAAAATCCAGAGAATGTATAAAACCGAATGAAAAAAAAAAAATAAACTGTGGACTTAAATTACTAATAATGTATATATATTGGTTCATCAAAAAAAAAAAATACACCATGTTAATAATGTTAACATGCAAGATGTTAACAATAGGGAAACAAAAAAAAAAATTATGAGAACTCTGTATTTTCTGTGCAGTTTTTCTATAAACCTAAAACTAAAAAAAAAAAAATCTATTTTTAAAAAAC